CATTTTTTTCCACACATTTTTACACTTATCTTAGCCTCTGCTAGACATGCCTCAAGGGATTAAAATCTGGTGATGAATTCCAGGGTTTCATTTGCTGTACAGTCTGCTGCAGTTAGTGCTCTAAGGCAGTAAAGCATATTTTCAATAGAATCTTTAGAAAATATTTTTTTTCAAGGAACAAAATATATTTTACAGCATTTTAACCTACGATGTATGCTTGTATATAACTTTTTTTACTAGTATTTTAATTCTCTGAAGTGAAAGGAAATATATCAGTCACAAGTTTTTAGGTAGGAAGAGGAGCATTGCTAGTACAAATAATAACAATGAAGAAAGCAAGATGACCCTGTGACTACTCTAGGTAAATGAATCCCTTCCTCCTACAGCTCAGAGATTCACAAAACTGGGCAAGACTGGAGCATCATTCTAACCTAAACATCAATCTCTTCAGGGTACAGTTAAGGGAAAATGCTGCAAACCCTGAGGAGCTCTCTTCCCCACACTGATCCTTGAAGAGTGCACATTCCCTTTCTAATACAGAAGGGTGAGCAAATACAGCGCAGTGGATACAGCTGAGAAATTAAGTTATCAGGCTTGCTACAGAACCTGCTGCAATACTGTGAGCTCTCATCTGATTAATATTGCTGTGTCCCTGGTTCTTGCCTCACTGTGCCCGCTATTGGTTAGCACACCTTGGACACTGAGCAGGAATAAAACACCGACAGTAGTCTGGTAGTCTGCAGCTGCAGAAAAGAAAAAAAAAGTTAAAAATACTCTGGTAATAGTTTTTTGGTTCATTTTACATGATTTTAGGTAGCTGAACATCCCCCGAAGTCAACTTCTAACTGTGTTCCTTTTCTGTGGCTTAGATCCGTGCCCATACTGAACGGTGCATGAGGAGGGTGAGCTGGGACCACGGCCATAGATGCTCCCCAGGTGGCATTCTGTACCGCTGAACCCACGAAGCAGTAGCCCCCCCAAATACACAAGCCACCTAGCCTCCTAATCACCCCATTCCTGTCTATGTGATGCTAAATCTAATTACTCTAGCCAAGAACAATCCTTTAGATGGAGATGTGAAAACAGTAGATCAGATTTAACTCTTAAGAGCTCCGTAAGTCTGTGAGGCATCTATTTAGAGAGTGGGCTGAGCCAGGGAGGGTATATCAGGGTGAAAAGACCACCCTCAGGGCAAAGGACTTTTATAGGAATGACTGCAATCATCTGACAGGCAAGACTGAGGGAAATGGGGTGTCCAGCACCAACAGCTAAGGAGTGAAACTGGGTCCAAACTGCTGCATGTGGCACTCATCTCTGTTTTCCCTCAGCAAAATGGGATTGTGTTTATATCATTTACGAAGACTGGAAGATCACCAAGCAGTGATTCAATACCCATGTGGTTTACTTAGACATGGCCATGCTCAGAGAAAAGGCATCTCAAACCTGCAGCAGTGGCAAACTGCTGGTTAAAAAGGTTTTGTGGGTTTTAGGCTTTTTTTTTTCTTTTTTCTATTACGCATCTCTCTTGGTTGTCTTTCTTGTATCTTCTATGCTCTGTATCAGCAAGCCTGAGCAAACATATCTGACTGCAGCTATCCTAATTACTGAGTACATCTTTCTACCAATACAGATTAGCTGCCCTTTCAACTCTTCATGTGTTTATTATTTCCCTCATACTTTTGCAGAATGAGTGATTGCTAAGATCTCCATTACATAGGCAGGTGACTGGAATGTGAAGACAATGTATTCCTTCCAAAGTCTGTGTGTGAACTTGGTAATAGGAAATTGTACCTGGATCTCCTCAGTTCCCAAGCTGAAGTATTAGCCACTTTCTTTCCAAGCACAGATTAGTCCTATCCGGCAGCTGCTGGAGTAATACTGAAAGAATTGCCTCTAGCCCCTGAGGAAATACTAAGCTGGAAGCTCACATCGTTTTTCAGAGAAATCTCTCCAAGTGTTACCAGAAGTGGTCACATGTACCTTATTTCTGGTTAAATAAGCAATTCCTTGACAGCAAATTTCAGGTATACTTTTGTGGGGTGATTAACTTACATGCATCAATCTTCTATGAGAAAAAAAAAAAAGATAACTGAGTTTCATCTTATGGAAATGAGTTTTAGATAATTGCAAAAATAACGCAAGATTTCTGAGGAAAATTTAGTGTCAAGTGTCTCCAGCAATTTAGGATGTTGGGCGGTGCACAATTGTTGTAATTAATTACTATCATCTTACAGAACTGGTTCTCATTAGTTGATGCTTTTCCACTAAGAATATTTCTGAAGCATCTTCATATTGGAAGCGCATGCCAATTTTTTTCCCCAAAAGCTCAAAGTTAGCAGCCAGCATACAGGATGTTTTGTAGAGTGGGGAAGACATAATCTAGCCGAGCCTGTTGTTTAATTCATACAAATAGCAGAAAGTAAGGCACTGCTTTGGGGATTTGGCCACGTAACTACAACCAAAATACAGCACTAAATAAGATGAAGGATGAGTGTAAGCTGCTGGCCTGGAATTCAGGGGAACTGATTTAATTTCTACTCTCTGCTACGCACTTTGCGCATAATACTGTGCAGACCACTTAGCATCACAGTGCTTAATTTCCCTATCTGTAAAGCAAGGAAGTAAAGGCTTATTAAGACTGTAGGGTTTCGGGGAAGTCAAGGGGAGTTTTACTCGGAGTTTATGATTCCTCGCACAACTTGTACGGGCATGAAAGCTAACACCCCACCAAGGCCGTGAGAAGGCTGATGGCAAACGTCTTCCATGAGGAGCCTTTCTTCTGGAATACCCTCACATGGTTCATCACAGAGTTTCACTTTGAAATTGTAAGACTGACCCATTCTTGGAGGCTTTTGGAGAAAGGCTGGACAAGTTAGAGGGATGTGCTGGTTAATTTTTGCAGGTTGCAGTGTGTGTGGAAATATTTTTTATGGTGAGAAACGGATTTTTTTTCCCCTCTCTGTAAAAATACTTGGTGCTATAACAAGTGATTCTTTTAAATAATAAGAAAGATAGACAATTTTATAAGCCCTTCCAAATCTCACCCCATAAGAATTGTTATATTCACTGAACACCTTTCATTAGGATGGCTAAAGATAAACCCTCTCTGCTTCTTTGTATCTTCACAAAAGCTTTTAAAAGTGTAGACTTATATCTGCAGAAAACAACTATTATTAATGAAGCAGCTGGATTTCTTTTTAAATAGGTTACTTTGCAGCCATTTGCTCTGCTAATTATTAACGGAAATGCTGATGATGTATCTACTGTGCTTTGGGATGCTGAATATTATCTAAAGTCCTTTTAAAAAGCATTTTAGAAGAATAAACCATATCTGAGCTGTGAATTAAAACTGTAAAATAATGTACATGGAAAGCAGCTGCAGAAATGATTAGCTCACATTTCCCCCCACCAGATTTGCCTACAAATATATCTGATGCAATGTGAGAAGTGTTGCTTCACAGTAACATTGTAATTTTGCTGATGTCAGTTTCTATTAAAGTATCCTAATATGTAGTAACTATTCTGATAAATAAATGCATGTGAAGAATAATTGGAATATAGATATCATACTAGAGCAATTCAGAGAAAGGTAATTCTCTCTCTCATGAATTATTTCAGTATTTGGTTTTATTCTCTTCTATGAAATTCTGCACACACACATGCACACATACACAAAGAGCGGAGTTTCAGGCAAGTCTTCCTAGGGCACTGCTGAAATATTACAGACCAGGGAAGTCCCAGATGCTCAAATCAGCATCAGTCTGCCTGCTGCAGATGGATAGACGGATCAGCCAGAAGGACAAGGGGGGTGATTTTTAAAACCTACTCAGTTTCTAAGAAGAACCTCATGATATCAAGCTCTCTCCAGAAAAATAACTTGGGTAGTATCCTGTGTTCCAGATGCTTTTCTCCTCTTGTGGCTACCTCTTTTCTCAATCTGCTGTCAAACAAGTATTCTCTGTACGATTTTCTCTCCCTTTCTCTGGCTGAGTCTTCTTTCTAAAGCATTGGCTGTTCTTTGCCTCCTGCTTATTCTCTCTTTTCTCTTAGCAGTTCCTTCTTCCTGCTACCAAAGCATCCTTGAATCACCATCATCTAGATTTTCCTGCCAATATTTTCACAGCTCCTTGTTGAACACCTCTCCTTTGCATTTGGGATACCCTTTCAAACAAGTTCACAAAACCACAGTCCCCCTGCCCCAACCTTGCCTACGACCTCAGCTTTACCATTCTGCAAGATGGCAATGGCAAGGCAGCTGGCTAGTAAGGACTGATGTTTACTTTTAAAGACAAATTTTAAATATTTGACAATCAAATTATTCACACAGGGTCTTATGTCAGTGGGCTGCCAGAGCATTTCCAGGGGTTCTGTTAACAAAGACATGGTTTTAGGATAAGTTTAGCTTAGGGGGTCACCCTTTCCTTCTACTTTTCTAAGAAAAATTAAATACAATTGTGTCAACATATAATTCACGCTTTCTCTAGCATTTCTTGAATGTTTCTTAGTGACCTTTGGGGGTTAATTAATGCCAGGACATTTCACCCATAAACTGTTTTTTAATTCAATTTGTTAAATGCAAGTAACCATAAATAATTATAAATCAATTACGGAGTTTGTTCTACACTTCACAAACCAAAAAAAAATCATAACAAAGTATTTTTGAAGGTGATTAAGAAAAATGAACACTTCCATAAGGCTAGGCATTTGTGCTTCAATTTAGCTTTTCCTTCACAAAAATACTATTTGAAATACATTTTGCTAAAGCTGGGAACTACTTTTGTAAAAGAAATAAATTATATTCTTAAGTTAAAATTTTCTTTTTTTCCAGCCATGCTCTAATGTATCACTGTACCTTAGAAATGTGCCCTGGGGAAAATGCTTCTATTCTTCACTAAAAAGCCATGAATAACATTATGTAGAAATTAATTTATGATAAATTATTTAAAATCTTAACCTAGAATGGCATCTTATTCAAATGTCATCAGAAAATAGTGCCTCACCCGCAGAAATGAGTCAAGGGATCCATTCTCCATGTATTCAACTACAATCATTACTGGTCTGCCTGCAAAACAGCAAAGAAACACATTAGGATTATAGATACAGTATGAGGCTTTTATAATTCCAACTGTTATGCACAGATTATTCACAGTAGTTAAATGTTACCCATTTTCAAAATCATCATTTATATCACAAACACAATTCCCTGTGTTATTCTCTAAATTTTTTTTCTTTTTTTTTGTGGTACTGGATTAGCTGAATGCGCATCGTTCGCTCCAGTGTATTCTTCCCTTAAAAAGGATCAAAGAAGAGCCTGGTATTTCCAAATAGCAACACTTTCTGTGTAACACTTTGAAATATATTTGAGTTAAGGGAAAATAAAATATTCATAAGCCATGTGCAGGAAATTACAAACTCAGTGCCATTATTTTCCTCTCAAAGAAAAGTATCTCAATGATTTAGTGGCATATAGATAGACAGACAGAAAGGGATGTCACAAAAAGAGCTCTCTCTCCTAGATTAGGTGTGTGTATTGGGTGTGTATAATCCAGCAAAACTCTGAATTCATATGTCTGTACATACACAACATATACATAATGCTGTTCAAATCAGAGTTTTGCTCAACTAGCACAGCTTTCCTGTACGGTTCCAGGGCAGGATCATTTCCAACTTGAAGCAGAATAACACATTACATTTATTTCTTAAAAGAATATCCAAATCTGAAGGTAAACTTTTAAAATGGGTGCTTAACTAAATGCTATTTCACTGTTGATACCCAGGAATAAACTACCCCTCTAGAACTGCTTGACAGGAGAGGCCCAATTAGCATGCTAATCGGGCTACGCAGCAAGAAGTTTTTTAGAATTGTTAATATTACAAAGAAGCCATTCCGCTATATGCAAAACTAATGTAATGAACAAGTATGTTAGCAAGATTAGGAAAGAGGTAAAAAGTCTTAAAATGGCAAACTTTTCTTTCCCTGAGAATGCCTGTCTCTTGTGGGGTTTGTGTGCCGAGCGGTGACACCACGAGTCTGCCCGTTTCACTTTCTCCATGCAACACTAGCTGTTCCAATATTTTTCCAATCCAAAGGAAGCCTCTTTCATGCCTTTTTTTTCTCTGCCTCTCAAATTATTTTTGTGTTTTATTTGGATAAGGGGATGAGAAACAAACACAATGTTCAGGGTGGGAAAGTGTAGAAGGGCATTGTCACCATTGCAGCACAGTTGTCCATTTCTGTACACGCTAACTCTCTGTTCTGTTTGGTTACCAGTGGAAGTGTTTATTACATAAACATATGTAATGTTTTCGCTAACATACCATAAACCACAGCCAGGTATTTCTGCTGAGCTGTCACAGCTAACCTTGAATTTCAAGAACAGAATAAGCCATTTCTCTGTTCCTTCCCAGCACATCAACTTGGAGTTCCACGTACCCCAGTGATGCTCATTCATGTAGTTTCTTCTAGGCTTTCTGGAGTTCCTCACAATATTTTCTCATTTCTTCTAATAAAATTTGGTGTTCTTTCTGTATTCACCCTGAGGTTTAGGTCCTCAATGAATAAAACAGTGCTTCATAATGTTTGCACAGTAGGACCTTTTTTTTCCTGTGTGAAAATTCTCAGATGCCTTCATAGTCTTTTGGATAGCCTTTCTGAAGTATGAAGAATTACCAGCTGCTTCTTTTTTTTTTTTTTTTTTTTTTTTGAATGTTTGGTCTCAGCTGCAGATGTGCACCTGCTGCCAAATCAATTTATTTATATTCATCTGCATCCATTGGTTATACCCTGGTTTTGCATTATTAGCTTAAACAATACATCACTTTAAAGCTCTTAAAGATCAGAGGATTTTAAAAATTAATGTTTTACTTCAGCTTGCTAATGATGACTAGTTGTATAGCCTAGTCTCTTTAGTTTCAAGCAGATGAATGACCTAGATTCCCTCACCTTTACCATTTGCTTATTCTCAAGGGGCTGACATCCCTATGGTGGGAAAGGCAACTTCCGTAATCTAGAGAAATAAACAAATGGCAGCCTGGTGCTAGAGGATCTTACTATATGAAGAACTCTCTCAAGCAAGTAGTAATTTCTAAATTGTTGCAGGCAACAGCATCTTGCAATAAATAGGGATGTAAAGCCGGCTTTCAGATGGTATATTTGGTCAGGCATAAGTTATGCAGAAATTTCTCTGTTGGGGTAAATCAACAAATAAAACACCTTTATGGAATGTTTGCATTTGAAGGGAATGACAAATGGAGCTGTTGAGCTTCAAAACAGTGCCCCTAGTTTCCTGTTAGTAGTCCTTTGACACTCTGTGCTTTCCGGAATCTATTTTGTAAGGTTGTCTAGCGGTTCATAGGCTCGTTACATCTTTTATGCTCCTTAGATTCATATCCTCGAACACAAATAATTTTCACACTAAATTTGTAAAAGCAACTTTTAAATCTTCTGTGTTCTCTCTCAAAATATCCACCCCCACCCCCCTAACCCCCAACCAACTGTACGTCATTTTGCTCAGTCCAACAGTATGAACTTCTAGGCTAAAATAACTATGAAATGTATCTATAGGCATTTATGTCAGGATTTAAAAAAGATATTTCAGTATTTTTCACTGGATAATGTTTATGAGTTTTTAAGCTGCCTGATGCCTTAACACATCAAGCCATCCCTGATGAAAATACTGCATTGTACCAGTGAGTTGTTTCAAGAATATACACACAAAACTGGCTCTTCCATATGATAGCACAGGAATGGCATGATCTGGTAGATCAAATCTGGTACACCAAAATAAGTAGCATTTGTCTGCAAACAGGTTGCTATATATTGGAAGATTAGCATATCATTAAGTATTCAGGAGTTTTGGTGAACAATAAATTAAGTCACTTAGGCTGATAGCTTCCCACAGAGTCAGTCTGTATCACTTACCATCCTACCTAACACTTGAACTTGATGCAAGATTGTGTCAAGACACCACAAAAATGAATCCAGCTCCATCGCTTGATTATCTTAAGCAAAAATCTGGATCCTACACTAACTTCTCAAATAACCTTCTTCTAGTGTGCTTGATAAAAGCCATCCTCTTTTGGCTGCAAGTTTAATGTATCCCTGAAGATACATTATATATTCCAAGCTGGACTGTGACAGGCAATACAGTGAGACTTTCAGTCAGCATAGCATGTCGTTGGAGCACCTGTAGATCAAAAATGTCTCAGCTATTGTTTCTGTTGCTTGAAGACACAGTAAAAAAACTCCGCTACACAGCAGGTTCCAGTGGGTACATTTATTATCAAAGCAGTAACACACAGGTTCTATTCCCAGCAAACAATTTTTTCCCAATAATTTTATAGGTTTGCAAATTTCATACAAGGATGAATGAAAAATGTAAGTACATCAAGTGTCAGGAAACATAAGGTAGGACACATCTTGATTTCTAAGGCGTGGAAGGAAAAATAGGTGCAGAAAATCAAGAGGCCTTCTCCATCTAGTCAGTATGGTATACCCAACCAGACTGTGACAGGTTGCCAATACACAATGTTGTATTTCCTCCCCTATCTCAGTAGAGGCACTTCAGTGATTCCACCGTGTGTTTGCTTTGCATGAACACTCTCCAGTTCACAAATGGATGAAGGAACAGGACTAGTAATTGGCTCTGGAGAAGCTGGCTGAGACATGAGGACGAGCAGCTGACTCTGGCATATCCAAGGGGAGAATCCAACGTTGGGCATCTCAGTCCTGAGACCGAGTCACCAGTCCCAAGGGCAGGCAGTGGAAGAGACTGGCCTGTCCCCTCTGAAAAACACAGATCCTGATGTGTATAGCCATCGCACTCCATCAGTTCCAGATCTGGGAAGCAAATTCTGAAAGCACAGCTCTACTTCTGATATCCTACATGTAACAGAGTGCAATCCAGGATGCCTAACTTCCAAAGGGTCAGAGGGTGGCACCCAACCCCGGGCTTGTATAGAACAAAGTTCTTGGTAAGACAAAAGGCTATTGATGACATTAGTTGATGTTAATTTCCTTTTTAGCTGTCAAGAGCAGATGTTATCCTTTATACTGTGGTAGAATTTGAGTCCAGAAAAGATTAAGGTCTGTGCTGAACCCTGTGCAAACACAGGATACTGCTTTTGTTTTAAAGATGACTACAAAATTGACTTTGACAAATAATACTGGGAGATTTCTAAACTAAGTAATGTTCGCCTTTAAACAAACAAACAAACAAAAAGTAAAAGAAAAAAGACTATTACTTAGATTATGAAAATCCATGTTGCTCTTATGGTACTAAGAAAGATGAATTCTTCATCCTCAAAATAAGGACAGGAATGAATAAAGGAGAGGGGCAGAGAAGTCTCTCAGAGTGAGAGGCACTCTTTGATTATTTTATCATGGGGTAGGCTAATGCAATTCTGGAAGGCATTGAATTATTTTCCTATAGTTATGATTGCTTATACATATGAAACATGGGCATCTTTACTTGAACAAGTTTAATGATAAACAGCATTAGAAGGCGAGGCAGATGGGAGTCGGGAAAGCACTCGGGGCTCAGAAGGGCGGCACAGGCTGCAGCACAGAGACAGCGGTGCCAGCGCTGCGTGAGCCTCCTGCATGAGCCCCTCTCAGAGCTCACACGCAGCCCCAGGCAACTCTGTGCAGGCAAGAGCACAGGCACCAAAAGGCACTCCTGCGACCGATGATGAATCCCTTCCGCAGGATTTGTGCACCTCACCAGACAGCTGGACACCCAAACTCTGGTTTAAAGACTTGACCAATTCAGGTGAGTCTTTTCACACGGGTACAGGCACAGACACCAGACAAGTATCTGAAGAACTGGGTTAATTTTACAGTCAAGATCCACATAAGAGACAGCATGGAAAAAGGACACTGAAAAAGGTGTCAGCTTCGGCTGAGGACTTGGAATAAAAGACAGAATACAAGAGCATCTAGGAGCTAAAAACTGCAGATGCTGCTGGAGGACAACTTCATGTTTGAATTGGGGGGAGGACAAAGTATAAAAAGGTTTGAAGATGGATTCAGTGATCAAATCAGCCAAATGAATCATTCTCGCA